CTAAGGCTTTAGTTTATCTCCTGAATGTAAATGAAAATATTTCTGTTGAAATCTGAGAGCTTTTTTCTCCCTCCATTGACAGCTACGCAACTGAAATTTGACGGTTCATAAAGAGATCGTAAAGAGACACGAATTTAAGATTTTATTCACATTCATCAACTCACACTTAAGTTGTGGTAAATGAAAGCTCAAGCATGTTTGCTTCACGTGTGAGAACCAATGAGTTTCGTTCTCGTGTTACGCAGCATATCAGCTAGAACCAATGAGGTTTGGCAATTGTTTGATGAGCCGTTGTGCTCTGTAATGCATTTCTTTTCCATTTTGTGTTAAAAATAGCAATCTTTGCAGAATTTAAATGGGTTTAAGAGTTTTCTGGTATGCGCCGAGTCGCAGACTCATATGAACCTCTCTGCTTTCAAGTCTCTGGACCGGAGCAGACTGTGAAATTAACGTGAAACAAGACTTCATTCGCCCCAATGGAAAGCATACACTACCTGAATCATTTCTTGTCCCCTTATATGGTGCACAGTGCGCCATTCACCATGTAGAAAAATAGTAAACGTGTGAACAAGTGACCGATTTCAGCCGCAGTTTCAGCGTCTATTTATGGTGTTGGGAGTGGGATACTTCAGATACTAGAGATACGTTGATTGGACAGAAAATCTGATGAGAAGCTGAAGTGCAGAGTGATGATGCCATCCAAATCATTGATCCATATTAGAGACTGTAAGTTGAGAATTTTATTTTTGGAGCACACTAGCTTATAGATTACAGCAAGGCTAACATATTCTTTTGATTTCAGGGGGACTTTAAACTCTATTTCAAGTAACCTTACGATGTGCCAGGCCAAACAAAAGCTGTATCAAATTTGAATTCCAAAAACCTCTTGTACCTGCCCAAGGGAAGCCATTCTGCACTCACCAAAACCAACAATTAGTTTTTGCAAAACTCTCCCACACCTGGTCTTGTTTTGCCGGACACTGGCATAGCTTTCCTGTGAGTCGTGCAGTTCCACAGAAGAAAGGAAATTAAATTACATTCTACACTGTTATTTTGTGCCGCCGTGGTACAGGGAGTCCTTGAAGTTTACAACCTTTACAAAAGGCCACACGGTTACGCAAGTAAGAAAAAGCGTCAAATACAAGCCGGCTTCTCGGGCATCACAGCTGCATATGTTTTTCTTGCATTACTTTTTCATGCAGATACATTCTGAGAGCCAGCGTGCTCACTGCAGCCTGTTTGGAAAAACAACATGGCTGCTCGGCTCCCTCTTCGTAGCCGTGTGGGTTGAAAGAGCATTTTCTGTAAATGTTTAACCAGACGGGTAAACTGCGAAGAGGTTTCAATCAATGACAGTGTCTTTGGGTTGTTTTCCCAGCATGCAGTGGGCCTCAGTTCATCCACAAATTGACCATAGCTTACTGGTTACAAGAGGTTCATGTTGCATGTCGCAGAGTGCATGTTTGTATATCAGTAGATTGTGTAATGTAAACCAATACAACCAGTTATGATCCTGCCGTCAGACCTCTGCATTTCGATAAATCCTGGAGAGAGCTTGCCATTTAAGCTCATTGAAGAAGTATGCATAGATTAAACCAAATCAGTGGTGAAAGATTTGAAGTGTTTGATTATGGGTGGTAGCATACAACCAGAGCAGAAATGACCTTGATTTGTTTTCCTTATAGATGATGTATGTAATGATTATTCTATCTGTATGATGTTTTTACAGATTTCTATCTTGATTATAATGATCATGTTTCATTTTAAATGAAATGAAAATGAAGTGGTCGTTAAATTAGTTCATTATTCAAATTCCGTCATGTCGTTCCAAACCCGGAAGATTTTTGGTCATCTTCAAAAGATCGTAAAACTAATCCAGATGAGTTGAGCGGTTTAGTCAATATGTTTTGAAGAGACACGATCGCTTTATATGATGAAAAGATTCAATTTGAGCTTGGATGATTTGAAAATCGACACAAATCTTCCTGCTGGAACAGGTTTTGTGCCGGACGGATGTCAATGATGCCTCAAAATGCCTCTACATAGATACCTCACTAGGTTTTGGATCAGAATCCGTATGCAAATTCACAAGTCGCACTTGACTTTTCAACAGCATGTCATGCTTCCTTGGGAGAAGCGAGAGAGAAAACGGCCCAAGTCCTGAAAAGAGTTCCTGTCCACTCCCCAACCGCACAGCCCACACACTAAGCCTTTGGAAAGAGAGAGGAACTGTGAGTGGGAAGTGTTGCTGGTGTAGGCCCAGGGATGAGAGTGTGGAACAGGGATGCTTCTGAGGATATGTAATGGCAGGTGTCTGCTGAAGCACGCCCGCCAATAATGTCTTCAGTGAGGCAAACTCTGGAAACAAAGTCACCCGCTATTTCAGACACTATTCTTAGGTCTGTTCCTCACAATTGGGCTTGAAACATTAGACCGCAGTATTCAATGCTGGACAATGCTCAGAGCGATCACCCTCCTTCAGATCTCTAGGCTCATACTTGCCCTACGCTGACATCATGCGAGCAGCTCTGGGCTCATTGCCTGAGTTTCTGCTTTTTAATGTCGATGGACCAGACCTAGAACACATCTGAATGCAGGGGGGAGTTTCATAGGGCCAGCTAGAATCCAAATGACCCGCTTTGTGCAAGTGATGTTACCAAGAGGTACATGCAAAGCCTGGGACACGCCAAGCCCACATCAAAGAACTAGTTGCGATGAAAGGTTACTGTTGCGGCTGCGTCTCGTCCAAAAAGCTGCACTTGAACACACCTAAAGGACTATAGGTCAGGTGACTGACCTTACAGCTTGTGCGTTCTGCGTCTGTGTGCATGGAAATATCTGTCTATATCAGCTGGGTATCAAAAGTCTATTTTTGTCATTCAAAAAGGGAAACCAAAACTTGGACTGCATGCAAACTAAGTAGCGCTTGCTTACCGCTTTGAAAATCAATCACGCAGATCACTTTTTTCATTCTAGTCAGCTCATGTTATTATGAAAATATTCATTTGCTCAGGTAAGATGTTGTAAATTATAACAGCTTCTTTGCTCACTTTCAACACTTTCACTTTAATTCTCATGCACCCAAGTTGAACATCCTATCAGAGTTCTCACTCTCTCGATCAACATGCTGAATCGTCTAAAAAAAACGGAAAACAAACACGGCCAACTCTCAAAAACAGCCTGACGTCCGGCATAGTGTGTCCCGGCCTTAAAGGAGTAGTTCACTTTTAAAAAAAACTTTAGCTGATAATTTACTCACCCCCATGTCATCCAAGATGTCCATGTCATTCTTTCTTCAGTCGAAAAGAAATGAAGGTTTTTGATGAAAACATTCCAGGATTTTTCTCCATATAATGGACTTCAGTGGGAACCAAACGGTTCAAGGTCCAAAAGACAGTTTCAGTGCAAACTGCAAACTGTTCAAAGGGCTTTAAACAATTTTAGACGATGAATAAGGGTCTTATCAAGAGAAACCATCGCTCATATAAAAAAAATAACAAAGTTTACGTTTTACAAGCTCAAATGGTTGCCTTGCTCTGTTCTGTGATGCGCATTCATGACTCTCCTTTTCGAACTCGTTCATGAAAATGAACAAATCTTTTCCAGAGTCAACTCATTCATTTCGTTTGTTGAATGAACCAAATGACACGAAAAAGATTTGTTCATTTTGATAAACGAGTTCGAACTGGAGAGTCACGAACGTGCATCACAGAACAGAGCAAGGCGAACATTTGAGCTTATAAAACTTAATTTTTTTTTTTTTCAAATGAGCGATCGTTTCGCTTATTCATCGTATGGTGTCGTTTAAAGCCCTTTGAACAGTTTGCAGTTTGTACTGAAAGTGTCTTTTGGACCTTGAACCGTTTGGTTCCCATTGAAGTCCATTATATGGAGAAAAATCCTGGAATGTTTTCACCAAAAACCTTAATTTCTTTTCGACTGAAGAAAGAATGGATATCTTGGATGAGTAAATTACCAGCAAAAGTTTTTTTTTTTTTTTTTTTAAATGAACTACTCCTTTAACCTTTTTTAAAAATAATTATTTACTCATATACTCATTTCGTTTCAAACCTATAAAGCTTTATTTATTTATTTATTTTTTGCAAAAGATTGTATAGAAGGATTGTATCTGTGCCCTTGGATCTGTATGGTTTTCTTTCTTCTGTGCAACACAAAAGAAGATATTTTGAAAATGTCTTTTTTTTCCATACAATGAAAGTCATTTTTGGGTGAACTATACTTAGTATGCTATATAGTATGTTATTAGTAGTTCACTTGTGATTTGCCAGGCATGGTTTGACTTAAAAGGCACGTATCTCTTCACAGGCCTCTGTGCCTATCGGAATCAGGAGCTGTCTTTAATCCCAGCCTTTAACTTTTTTTCTCTGCCATGCTTTGATGCTCTGCCAGAGCACTGATCCAGGGTTTGTTTTTATTGACTAAAAAGATTACTTGCGGTCTTTGACCTGAGAACAATAATACAAATTTCTATAAATAATATGTCAATTTGTTAAGCAACATCTAACCAGATAGAGTTGTGCAGCATTCAGAATGTAATTGAAAATTACTTTTAAAAAGCAATTGCATTTCTGATTTTTTAACGTAATATAGTTCACTTTTCAGTATGAATTACATATGTACTTATATCGTGTGTGTGTGTGTGTGTGTGTGTGTGTGTGTGTATATATATATATATATATATATATATATATATATACATATACACACACACACAATATTGCATTGTTAGGATTCATAAAAATGTTACCAGCCAACTGGCAATTGACACTGTGTCATATACCTGTCAACGCTGATTTTAAATCGCATTTGGATCTTTGCGAGTGTTAAATTTAGGCCCTGTTCAAAACGTGTCCTACAACATTTGAGTTACTATGTAGAGAGAGAGAGAGAGAGAGAGAGAGGGGGGGAGAGGGAGAGGGAGTGAATGATTCAATTCTGAATTTTACCCAAATTTTATAACCTACTCTTCCCTCCATCAGGAGAAGTAAATAGCACACGCTCCCCTCTGATGAAGAAGACCAGCAAAGAAAACAACTACCAACACTACAAAGAAATGGCTGTGAAGCAGCATCACAGCAGTAAGAGGAACAGGATGTTCAGCCCCCAGGATGATCTCAAAACCCTTCTCCCCAAACAGGTGAGTGTCAGCACTCTTCAGTACTGGCGCACACTAAAGCGAGTCGTATGAAAGGGCCTTTAGATTAACACAGAGAATGATGGACCCATTGAAACAAAGATCTGTATTCACATTGAATGTCATTGTGTTCAGTACGGCAGTGCCCTCTTCTGGTTATCAGACTAACACACCACAGACACAACAGTATGGGCTCACACTATACACACAATACACACACAACTAACACAGTTTTCTGGGGTTCAGATTTACGGTATGTCCTTTGTACAACCCTCTAAATTTGATGTCGCTATAATTCTGTGGTCTGAGGTTGTTTGTCAATGTATAATTTATTGCTCCAGTATGTTATTTTCATGATTGGAACTGTGCAGAAACAGCTGTAAGCTGTTTTTCGAGTGTTTTTCATATCAAGGCTGTTTCTGGTGCCACTTTTGCTAGGTTTTCAGTTGAAAACATATGATAATTTCCTTAGTTACCTAATTAGCATGCGATTTCTGATGTCTAAAACACTGCCCGGTGATAGCAAACAGTCACAATCGGATTCCCAAGACAGAACAAACGGCTCCCGCCTCTGCTGAAACGAGGAATGGGCCAGTGCTTGTCGAATTTGGCCATCACACAAATCCACAGAGTTAATTAACTTTTCTTGGAATTGTACCATGCTTTACCTGGACTCTTAAATCCTTAGCCAAGTGACCACTACAACAGGACCTCACCCCAATCAGCATCTCTATCATGGCATCATCGACTGTTCTTAGCCAATAGACACATTTTCTTGCCAATTTACTTTAGTTGGAAAGTCGTTTTCTTTTTTCATAACTTTTTTAGGCAGCTGTGGGCTAATGGTTAGAGAGTCAGACTTGTAACCAGAAGGTCATGGGTTCAATTCTCAATACCGACAGGAAATGACTGAGGCGCCCTTGAGCAAGGCATCTAACCCCCAATCGCTCCCCGGGCGCCGCAGTGTGTGTGTGTCTTTGTTCACTGCTCCTAATCTGTGTGCACTGAACTTGGATGGGTTAAATGCAGAGGACAAATTACAAGTATGGGTTACCATACTTGGCCTTCACTTGACTTGACTTCATAAAATGTTTTAAGTAAAACTTGCTGAAATAAATGGTATGTCTGGTAGTTTTCGTAATTTTCCAAATACGATTTAAAATCGGCAACGTGCAGCGCGCCACTGACTTTAGACCAGGTTTTTTCTGGTCAGTGGCACAATTGTTTTCTTGAACTGCAAAATAGCACTAGGGAATGTTTGTGCGGAGCCCCCCTAGTCCCACTTTGGCAAAAAAATAATTATAACTATCTCGTGGCCTCAAGATACTAACTCGTGGTCTCAAGATAGTAATTCGTGGCCTCAAGACAGTAACTTGTGGCCTCAAGATAGTAACTCGTGGCCTCAAGATACTCTCTCGTGGCCTCAAGATACTAACTCGTGGCCTCAAGATACTAACTCGTGGCCTCAAGATACTATCTTGTGGCCTCAAGATACTAACTTGTGGCCTCAAGATACTAGCTCATGGCCTCAAGATACTAACTCGTGGTCTCAAGATAGTAATTCGTGGCCTCAAGATAGTAACTTGTGGCCTCAAGATAGTAACTCATGGCCTCAAGATACTCTCTCGTGGCCTCAAGATACTAACTCGTGGCCTCAAGATACTAACTCGTGGCCTCAAGATACTATCTTGTGGCCTCAAGATACTAACTTGTGGCCTCAAGATACTAACTCATGGCCTCAAGATACTAACTCGTGGTCTCAAGATAGTAATTCGTGGCCTCAAGATAGTAACTTGTGGCCTCAAGATAGTAACTCATAGCCTCAAGATACTCTCTCGTGGCCTCAAGATACTAACTCGTGGCCTCAAGATACTAACTCGTGGCCTCAAGATACTATCTTGTGGCCTCAAGATACTAACTTGTGGCCTCAAGATACTAACTCATGGCCTCAAGATACTAACTCGTGGTCTCAAGATAGTAATTCGTGGCCTCAAGATAGTAACTTGTGGCCTCAAGATAGTAACTTGTGGCCTCAAGATAGTAACTCGTGGCCTCAAGATACTCTCTCGTGGCCTCAAGATACTAACTCGTTGCCTCAAGATACTCTCTCGTGGCCTCAAGATACTATCTTGTGGCCTCAAGATACTAACTCGTGGCCTCAAGATACTAACTCATGGCCTCAAGATACTAACTCGTGGCCTCAAGATACTCTCTCGTGGCCTCAAGATACTATCTTGTGGCCTCAAGATACTAACTCGTGGCCTCAAGATACTAACTCATGGCCTCAAGATACTAACTCGTGGCCTCAAGATACTCTCTCGTGGTCTCAAGATACTATCTCGTGGCCTCAAAATAGTAATTCGTGGCCTCAAGATAGTAACTTGTGGCCTCAAGATAGTAACTCGTGGCCTCAAGATACTAACTCTATCTTGAGGCCACAAGTTACTATCTTGAGGCCACGAGATAGTATCTTGAGGCCACGAGTCGCCTCCTTTTTTCGCCGACCCGCCCAGGGAGCGCAGGTTCATTTCCTAGTTTACCGACGTGCGTCTGTGGAGGGAAAATATGAATGATACATGCGTTAGTGTACGAAGTCATTTGCGCCGGGTGCCAAGATAGGGCCCCTATTGTTAAAAAATCTGACAAGTGTCGTAGTACACATATAATAAAAACACATGTGTATTCGGTTAGGATATATTGCATTAACATACTCTTAAAGTGACAGCAGCCTAATAATCCTTCTACTGTCTGTTAGGGGTGTAACGGTACATGTATTCGTATTGAACCGTTTCGGTTCGAAGCTTCCGGTTCGGTACGCATAGAAACCGAACGATTGCTTGGACCATTTTTCCTGCCGGCAAAATTCGTGCTGACGCGGCCAACACAACGTTGCGCAACATCAAATGGCAAGCGTAATGAAAGCAGAACGAAACTGCGCTACTCGTTATGTGCTTCACGGCTCGTTTATCAGTTCAGACCAGCAACATCTGTGCAACGAGAGCCGATCTCGATCAAGCAACACTGTTACTACAGCGCTAAGAGATCCAGTAAAGAAAACATTTGAATTCGCCACTGAGGTAATAACATCGCTGCGAGATCTAGTGAGAAGCGTACACATTTCTCCGTTATTAACCGTAGATCTCTATTAGATCAAACGGCGCTGTCATGGAAACCAGGAAAAACATTGTGCCGTGAATGAACTAGTAATACTTTCGTCCACCAGCAACATTTACCATGGATTTAATATAGTAACACTAACTGGAACCAGTCTGGCTGGAATGGTGAAATGCTTTCAAGTACTTCACACATCTTTTTCCAGCATTTCAAAATTCAAATATTATATAAATAAATATATATTTAAATTTTATTTTTAATGTGATGACCAAAACATTATTTGTTCATCCTTCAAAGATGACCCCCATTTATAAACCTGAAAGTTTCAAGATCTAGGAAAACTCACACTTATTTAAAAATATTTTTTCTTTAAACAAATAGGAAATTTCTCTGGCATTTCTTTCTTTTTGCTGTATCGAAAACGTACCGAACCGTGACTTTAAAACCGAGGTACGTACCGAACCGTGATTTTTGTGTACCGTTACACCCCTACTGTCTGTTAATGTTAATCAAACAACAAAAGGCAAATAAAATCATTCACTGCTCTAGATTAAATAATTTGTAACAAATATAAGGATTAATATATAAGGATTAATGTTTCATGGCTGGTAAAAACAAATATTTGTGGCCAGTACATTTTCTGAAGTCACTGTTTTTGGCCCTGGTTTTGCATGACAACTTATTTAGATCAAGTCTCCTCATTTTACATTGACATATTAGCATAACCTCACTATTTAAAGGACGCCTTAAGCGCATTGATGAAAACAGCCGTATATCCACTCATATTTTCGTATTCTATTGTGCAAGAAATAGTTTGGGAAAAGACAATCGATCTGACCATCAACAAACAACAGCTGAGACAACATTTAGCTGTACTATGAAGCACTCTGGTTCTGGTTTTGCTGACCTGAAAGCTATAGTAACTACAATAAAAACGGCTAAATGATATGTTGATAAAGCAAATGGATGTTGGAAAGTACTAAAATAAGGTAGATGCAATAAAAAGAAGGAGCCAAGGCAATAAAAATTCAAACCAGTGATAATGGTAGGGTAATAAAAGCCAAACCGAATAAACAACTTTTCTGTGGGGGTCATAAATCAGTAGTGTAACCATTACATATCCCAATGAAAAGCAGACATTCAGGGAGAATGTCAGGGTGACGGCATGTTCGATGACAGCAGGGGACTGTTCACTGCTTTGTGATGGAGCACTTTTCATCCGCACGGTACGGATAAGATCCCTGGCAGGCCCTCTTCCCCCAGTGCCCTCTTATCCCGGGCCAAGCAGGGAGCAGCCATCATGAGAGATACAGGGAACGGAGAAGGAACGGGAGACAAGAATGGTCTTTGATGCCGATGCCTGTCCTTGTTGAGAGGTGGGGAGGTAGAACCAGGCCAGAAAATTAGCCGGAGTAGGAGATTAATATCAGCCACATAAATGTTTCATGAAGCCGCCGGCTTGCTGTTTATCTCACTCTGCTTCTTATATGCGTGTTTCTTCGAGAATTTTTATTAAAACAAACTCTTTTTTTTTTATATGAAGCTCAAATTAACTCTGTCCCTTCATCACATTTGCTACTAGTTATTTTTTGTGAATGCCTGTTATGTTTATATTTTATTATATCATATCATAAAAATTATAGTTTTTAAACTAGAGTCATTTAAATAGAGTGAAATCATCATAAACCATTTCTGGTTGCATGCATGAATTGCTTGAAAATGATAAAGATTTTAGATGTAATGTATGAAACACTTTTAATGTGAGGGTAAATCTCACACATCCACAGCATTTTTTTTACATTTACATTTGTTTTACTACTTTTACTAATTTGTTTTGCGAATTTCTGATGCCCGGTAATGGGCATCAGAAATGTTTTTTTTTTTTTTCTCACAATATTTATTTATTTATTTTTTGCATTTCAAGCTGTAATCTTGTGCATTTAATATAAAAAGTGTGAAAATATTACTTAATTGTGTGTATTTAGGATGCATACAATGCTAACTATGAAATTATCCTTGGCAAGACAAAAGAGATTGCCATTTTATTCCAAAAACGCCATTTTCATCATAGAATGCTATTAAACAATTTGAGATTGTGTGGAAATGTTAAATTAGAAAATATATGAAAATGACAGAGTTGCTCTGTATTTTTGTACGTCCATTTCTGGACGTTGTTCGTATACAAACTTAAACTAGTGAGAGTCTAAAAAAGTGTTTTGGGCTGTTTTAAGAGTTGAAGAAATACTCAAATGTATGTCTGTGTTGTCTTACAGAGCCAGTGTCAGCAGGAGCTGGATAAAGTGTTAGAGAACATCTCCCGAATGACGTTCCATGACAACAAAGGGCCTCTGGAAAATCTCTATGACCTGAAGTTTCCCAACTGTGACAAGACAGGACAGTACAACCTTAAGCAGGTGAGATGATCTACACTTAACTTAATATTTCGAAGACAGTGGTAGCTTGTCAATGCCCAATTTTAATATACCAATTGAAATGCACCAGATAAGTTACCATGTACATTTCCATTTATGGGGTGGTGTTGGCACAGTGGATAAGACACATGGCTTTGGTGTGAGAGACCTGGGTTCAAATCCACTTTTAGAGACCAATGTGTCCCAAGACACTCAACCCCTAGTTGCTCCTGAGGCGTGCGACCTCTGACGTATATAGCAATTGTAAGTTGCTTTGGATGAAAGCGTCAGCTAAATTAATAAAAAATAAAAAAATGCATTCCAAGGTGCACATTTACATTTTTATTATTTACATGCTTTCCCTGGGAATCAAACCAACGACCTTGGTGGTGCAGGCGCCAACGCTCTACTGTTTAAACTACATGAAAGCTGTAAATGAATGAAAAGGAAATTCAAGTAGTTTATGAAGTTTTTTTGTCCTTTGTCAGTTTGAAATGTTTTACAGGTCACCTGGTACATTGACCAGTAGATTAGAACAACACGTACCCACATTTGAATGGCGGCGGGTGTTAATTTCACTATAGGGCAATAGGAATATGAGACATTGCACAACCTTTCAATCTGCTGCAGCCTGCTGTTTTATTATCCAATTCCACATGGAAGGTTCAATAATGACACAAAGATGGAGCCAAAGAGAAACTGTGTATAAAACATTCCCGCATTCTCCACAGAAGGCTGTTTTATCAAAGCCAAGGCAACCGTATCTGAGCTGAGAGTTACAAGCTAATGAAAATTTTGCTGAATGACTAACCTGTCTGTGGGGTGGCTTGCCCTTCTTTGTAGTGACGTTCTCAGAGGAAAGAGAATCACTAATGAGAACTCTTCTGTAATCTCTTTTATATCTTAATGACCTGTCTCTTACACATCCCTTGCAGCCTGATGAGATGAAATGAGAAGCAAATAGATGGATACTTTTGAAGGTTCTTAGGTTCTTGAGAAAAAATGTCACAAGATACTAAAGTCTGCTATTAAAAGTGATGAACAAATGATCTGATCCACCTACCTACATACATTATTTAGCTCTTAATGTATACAGTCTAGTCACCATAGAGTTTATATATCTATATTTTTATACACAAACACACCAACCCGATCTCACGGCAATTTGTACGAATTTTACGAGGTGGCTAAATCATTCATACCAATAGGGCAACTCGTAAAATATGTACGATTTAGCAAAAATCGTACGAATTCATACGACCTCACTCGTACGAATTCGAGTTTTTTTTACGAGTTGCCCAATTCATATGAATTCGTACGAATACCCCGCCCCTAAACCTACCCATCACTGGGTTTAGACATATCATACGAATTCGTACGAGTTAGATCGTACAAATTAGCCTTTTACTAGCCTAACTTTTACTCACTCGTATCAGTGATGCGCGGGTTGATCCGAAATGAGCGGGTGCCTGCGGTTACCCGCAGTTACGGGTCATCCAAAAATGTTTTTAATGATATTCGGGTCGCGGTCGGTCGGGTCGTTTGAAAAAAAGATGCCAATTAAACATTTGTATATAGTACTAGACACAGTTTTTGATGAAATATACAGCCCTACACATTATTGGCTGAATAACTGGCACGAAGATAACACACAAGCTCAGTTTAAACAGTTCTCGGTTCTATAGTGATTCGAGAACCGCTGTCCCTGTGCGTTCGGTATACGCAGTATCAGCTGCTCGTGCTGATCACTTCTCTCAACAGTGGCAGCAACATGTCTCGGTTCAGTGAACTGTTGGAGTTACTGGAGTAAAATATAATTCAGGATATTGATTTATTTCGATTCGGAGGCGACTGTCAGGCATGTCTGAAAGTGAGTAACTTTAGTAACTTGTGGATCAGCACTGACGCAAGACGCCAGAACGATTCAGTTCGAGTGTACTGGTTCGACCGGTTCACTAAAAAGAACCGGTTCAAAAGAACGATTCGTTCACGAACCGGCCGTGTCTACGATGATCACTACAGTCTGCAGAGAGATGGAGGCGGCAAGAGAAAAGGTTAAGACTGGGGAGTGGAAGCTCCGCAAACACACAAATAGAAAGAGTAAAAGTGTGGGAGACATTTGCTGAAATAATGAAAGATGATGACCAAAGTGCTGGCTTTGCCTTTGTTATGTGTAGGCCTACGTCTTCTTGCGATGCTGTGTTGTTACACGTCTATATGGCCCAATAACGCTCCGATGAGCATTTACTACTTTAAAAAAATGCGGTCAGGAAGCGGGTCGAGTACAATGTTTTTTTTTTTGCGGTCCGAGTTGCGGGCGGGTAGTTGAAAACGTCGGTCGGTTGCGGGTTGTTTATACATTGACCCGCGCATCACTGACTCGTATCAATACCCTTGACACACACACACAAACATACAAGCTATTGTTTTGTCTAATGTCTAGGCTCTTTTTATATCATTTTAATTTTATATTATATAATTTTATGTTTATTTTTATTTTTATAATTGACTTTTATGTATGCTTGCACTTTGCAATATGTATGCAGTAATTTTGATTAGTTATTCAGCATGTCATGGACTTTATTGGATTACAGTTTTTAATTTACGGACAGCCCAAACAAAGGAATTTTAGGAGAAACATTTTTGGAGACAAAGTTGACATTTTGCTGACAGATTTGATAAACGAGAACTTTGTGAGCTAACCATTATGGTATAATATTTCTATGTCCTGACACAACACGTCGCAGCTTAAACCAGGACAAACATGTCCCAGAGATGTAAATTGGTATGTTGTTTTGACATGCAAACCCTGTTCCCAGGGCTCAAAACAGTGTACCTCACGACACTTAATTGTTTTGTAATCATCCTGTTCCTCTTGCGATTACTGTAACTGTCAGTTTTTGTTCTATGCCATTGGAGGACAAAATTGAGAATCTGTTTTTTGCCATTTTTGGGTCTCAGCGTCAGCTATGTCCAGTTCAATTATGACCTCATTTTGGGAGTGCTCAGTAGGGGTCAATGAGACGTGCAGGGACAAATGAGGCGGGAGGGCTGTTTTGGGCCAGTGCCTCCACCCCGTACTCGCCCAAGAGCTTCATTAAGCCCCCGACACCACAGGTTTTCCCCGCCCCTCTCATCATCTTCCCTCTCTTGTGTTCCAGTGCCACATGTCCAACCACGGACAGAGGGGCGAGTGTTGGTGCGTCAACCCCTACACTGGTGTCCAGATATCCTCGTCCCCCAAAGTGAGGGGGGACCCCAACTGCAGCCAATTCTATGGCGGTCCCGAGCTGGAACCGCCCACCGCCCAGCAGAAATAGACGCTCCATCAGGGAGACGCACCGGGTCACAAAGAAGGATAGTTAAAAGCGAGTACAACAGTGGTGTGCATGTGTGTAATTCTGTACATGTATGTGTGTGTGTGTGTATTTTTGAAATAGTATGATCTGTATTGTCAATAGGAGTGTGGAAAGTCACATGCCAGCAAAGACTATTCAAGGACAGGTAGTTAAACTTCTCAAATCCAGATAACTGTACTCCAAATTTAACCCTGAGTTATTGTTTTTTTCTGCCTATTTATAGGCTCATCTGGTGCCTTTTAATCTTGTGACTGAATCTGGTTGCGGGGAGTCGCTTGTACAGTATTTGCAGCTGTTCGGTGTGAAGATGTGTCAGTTTAATTCTCTCTTTTGTTTTTGGAGCCCCAATACAAATGGTCGCGCATTTATAGTACCGTTGGCCACCAGAAACGGATAAAAGAAACTGCAAATGAACAAACATTAGGAGCTTTGCTTCCCCAAAATTGTGACTCGTTGTCAGAGAAAGCGGAGGGGTCGTGATTTGTTGGCTGATTTGAGAGGACCTGTGCTTGAGAGGCTGGAGGCCATTTTGACTACTTGAGTACCCGACTGATAAATCAACCTTGAGTACTCAAGTGCCGTTTGTAGATATGCATCGAACTGGCGTCCTTTCCGCACGAGTGTTGCATTAAGACCATGCATTCAAAACATTTCTAAAATGCGTCTCTAAACCACTACTTTTGTTTCCATTCAATTGCCTCGGGCTGAAAGTCACCATGTACGCAAGTTGCTATGCGGAAATCGTCAACCCTCTAACCAATCAGAGGCCTAAAATGTGACAGAAACAAAGGATAAATTGAAAATAAGGCTCCATTTTGGCACATATTTCTGAACTTCAATCAGCATCATAGATTTTGAAGTTAAGTGTATTTTCATAATCGATTATTGCTGTCACTTCCAGGTACTCAATATCTGGCCATCCCTGCTCCTGGCGGCTGATAGACTTCTGTTCTCGTGGTCTTTCGAACATATGCTAGAATGCAGGTGGTGTATGTGTGTGTGTGTGTGTTTGTAGAGTGGGGATCAGAGTTTACTAATGATGTGCTGACAGAAGGCTTGATTTGGACACAGGGCTGACATTGACAAATGTGATATAAAGTGGGATAAGTGCCTATAAATAAACACAGGATTGCCTGCAGTGCTAGTGGGCTGTGCCTCACTTTGCTTCACTCTCATCTCCAGAGGGATGTATTTTGCCCAGTGTAAAGTTTGAATGTAGACTTGAAGAGTTCTCTGAAGGAATGTGAAAAAAAAAAAAAACATATTTTTTTTACTCTTTGGATAGCCCAATGAAACACATTTGCAAAAGTTTGAAGTTAGTGAAAGGATATGATTTATTCTTGGGTCACAATTGTAACCTGTGGGCAACTGCAGGGTTAGGCTCAGTTGGTCCAATAGAAAATTGCAAACAATAAAGTAACATACAATGGGGTACGTAAGTCTGAACCTTGAACCTATCCATCCATCCAATTCAAAATCTAATTTAAATCTGAGGATTCTGGGGCGAACAAATAAGTGAATAGAAATATTTCTTAAATGACCAGGCTGTTTATTTGATTAAAAAACAGTATTGTTAAACATTATTACAATTTAAAATAACAGTTTTCCATTTTAATATATTGTAATATAATTATTTCTGTGATGGACAAACTGATTTTTACTTGCTTTTATTTACATCATTACACCAGTCCTCGGTGTCACATGATCCTTCAGAAATCATTCTAATATGCTGATTTGCTGCTCAACAATCATTCATTATTATCAATGTTGAAAAAAAGTTGTGCTGCTTAAAGGGATAGTTCACCCAAAAATGAAAATTCTGTCAGTATTTACTCACCCTCATGTTGTTCCAACCCCATCTTTTGAACACGAAATAAGATATTTTTGATGAAATCTGAGAGCTGGATCACTCCTCCATACTAGTCCATAGGCTTCTTGAGGAATTGAAACTTGCCAGCCTGAAAAGTTTTTAAAGACATCGTTAAAATATTCAACGTGACTACAGTGGCTCAATCTTAACTCTATTAAGCGACGAGAATACTTTTTGTGCGCAAAAACAAACCTAAATAACGACTTTATTTCAACTATTCACTTCCTTCTCTTTGAGCCTCTAGTCAGTTAAACTAGTGTAATTCCGTAGAGCTACGTCACACGTACAACAACAGATCATATGCTGTTAAACTAGTAACCTGACTCGAGGCAGAGAGAGAAGGAAATGAATAGTTGAAATAAAGTCGCTTGATAAAGTTAAGATTGAGCCACTGTAGTCACTTGGACTATATTAACGATGTTTTTAATAACTTTTCGAGGCCGGCAAGTTTCAATTCCTCAAGAAGCCTATGGACTAGTATGGAGGAATGATCCAGCTCTCAGATTTCATCAAAAATATCTTAATTTGTGTTCAAAATATGAAGGTCTTACGGGGTTGGAACAACATGAGGGGGTGTAAATACTGAGAGAATTTTCATTTTGGGGTGAACTATCCCTTTAATATGTTTCTGGAAACCGTGATACATTTTTTTCATACTTGATGAATAAAAACAAACAAAACAAAAATGCATTTATTTAAAATTGAAATTCTATCACTTTACACCAATATAATCATCCTCGCTGAATAAAAGTATCATATTTCTTAAAAAAAAAAATCTTAATGACCCCAAGCTTTTTTCCAAATCAAAACTAAATGGATAGGGGCAGTGGGATTTAATGGGTTAAATTGCTCTGTTAGCAGGTGTGATCTGTAACAGCCTATTCACAAGAACAGTGGTTTTATTACTGGAGGTCCCCAGATCAATGATTGTCCTTAACGTTCCCACTGTTCTGACGTCATTGGTGGCCCATATAAATAGCCATAGCTTTGGAAAATCTGATCACAAATTAAACAAGTATCCATGTGCTGCTCATAAATATAAACTTTTTCAGTTTCGATTGTCAATGCAGCTTCGCATCAGACTTTTGTGTGCCACTGTATGTGACCTTATTGTCATGTGTCTGGAAACTGGCATCGTTATCAATGTGAAGGACATGTAAGGGTTGTTTGAAGGGCGGCAGCTGTAACGTCCCCTGATTAAGTTATATTTTCATTTAGTACCCATATCTCTTACTCATTTTATCTCTTCCCCATCTGTCTCTCTCTTTCCCATCACCTCCCTCGCTGTGAGTTGAATTGAACAGCTCAATCCAGAAATAGAAGTCGATTGCGCTTTAGCATTGATCCTGACGTGTTAGACAGTGTTCAGCCCAGCGTTTGCTTTTGTCGCTTAGTCTTTATGATATATTAACACATTAACCTCCAGTAACTTTCACAGTATTACCACATCTCGCTCGCCTTTAGTAGGAACTTACATGTGTTTACTTTAGCCAGTTAGCATTGTGCTAACTACCGCTACAAACTGCCCCTCGTGTGATTCTGGTGCCTCACAGATAGATTTGCTGAGACACGGGTTACGAGTTTCCGTTTTGGTTTGTTTCCAAAATAGATTGCTGCCTACCCTCCGGTGGTACAGTAAATTTTACGGTAGCTCGAGTTTGGCCTAGTTTGAAAACAGTGCGAAACCAATCCCTGTGGTTTTCGGGCATATTGATTTGCCAGAGCGGTTCCAATGGGATGGAAGTGTTCATGTATGTGTGTGTGTTTGTGTGTACTTGTGTGAACGTTTCGATGCTGTGCCATGCCTGGAGCCAGTGTGACGGTGGGAAGGATTGCTTGCCATCTGGTGCAGTGTAAAACTGTCAGAGCCGGTCTCTGCATTTGGAGAGTCTTACACAAATGACAGGGGGAATTTCTTGAGCAAATCCAAAGCCATGTACCATGCCAGCATCTCACGTGTTTTTTTTTTTTTTTTTTTCTTTTTTTTTCCTTTTTCTGTATTTCATTGAGTATCCTGTGTGTCACGAGATGCGGTGGTTTTAAATAACGTACGTTACTCAAAGCATGCTCTTTGTGTCCACTGTCATGCGAATGGTGCATGAACTGAGTTTTCTGTACAACTGCAATGGAAAAAGCCATAAATGCATGCAAAAATAGACATTGGTTTTAAATTCTTGTAATAAAATCCAGCATGATTAAATGTATTATCTTTCAGACACATTAGTCTTTTGTCGAGTTTTCATTTTATGATTTCTTTGTTGGGTTTTTTGTTGTGTTGTTAATGTTTTCCATGCACATGAATCATAAGCCCGTCCTGAAGTGTTTTTTTTTTTTTTTTTTTTTTTTTTTTTTAAGTGGTGATTACCACTTTTCAGGGTCATAAAACAGTATGGAATTTTAAAATGGTGATTTTTTTTTTCAAGGAAACTCAAGATCTAGGTTTGAGCAAGAGTCACATCCCAAATATAAAATCATATTTTTAAATATATATTTAAAATTAATGTATTAATAGAATTAGACTACAAATTAAAATTTTATTGTGATAGACAAGTAATTCATTGAATTGATGTTACTACACTCTAAAAATGCGGAGTTGTTTCAACGCAATTTTGGGTCAAATACATTTTTATTACATTTTGGGTTTGTCTATATTTAAGCCAAATTTGGGTTAAAAACAACCCAGCATTATTTAGAGTGTAGAGTCTTTTGATTTTTAAAAATATAATTATGTAGATTGTTAATTTTTCAAAAATGCTCTGCTACACTCTAAAAAAATGCTGGGTTGTTTTAACCCATCTTTGGGTCAAATATGGACAAACTCAGCCATTGGGTTAAATGTTTATATTACATTTTTAACCCAACATTTGGGTTTGTCCATATTTGACCCAAATTTGGGTTAAACCAACCCAGCATTTTTTAGAGTGTATAAAAAAATCAGCTGGAAATTGATGTAAGTAAAATGATTTTTGGCCAGATTATCCTTGTGATAACTGTGAGTATTATCAAGGTCATTGTCTCTCAATGTTTATTTTTATTTCTTATTTTCATTTTATCTTCATAAACGTATGCACTTTGGCAGAACGATTTCAGATCTATTTGGTCTACAGAGAGATTGTAAGATAAGAGATCCACCTTCAGCTTCCCCTAGTGTAGTTTATCTGCGTTTATCACATATGTGCTGTCAATCCTTCTTTAAAACAAAGCAGAATATGAATCTCAAAAATATAACAGGAGCGAACAGCTGCGGTGCCGTCCGAGGATGAAAAGCTAAACTCTAATCATTGTGTTCTCAGGCGAAAGAGCGGCGTGGAGAGCCACATGTTGTGATAAGATGCAGCCATCTATAGTTGTTGAACTAATTGCGCGATAAAAAGGACGTGAGTGCTTTGAAGTCTAAAACGCAGTTGTCAGTTTCTTTGAAGGCTATAGTAATTGTCATGTTCACTGCCCCACAAATCAAACCGCCGACACGTGTTCCTCTCCGGGTCTGCTTCGTTTCCCCATCCTTGATCTGTCTCTTACAAATGAATGCTGCGGACAAAGTCCTGATCCATCACATCTGGAGTCCGTAAACCTGAGTTATCTCAGGAAGAACTTCACCTGTATGTCTGCATTAGCCATTACCTTGAGGCGACTGAAGTCTCATTAGACCCCAAACACTATCCAGTACGTATTTAACACCATATATTCAAACAAAATCCACATATTTTGTAATTTCCTGCCGCTGCTAGAGGTTTGGCTCTGAACTCGCAAGAAAACGTGTTAGAAATGCCCACTTAATCCATTTATCAACTTTGTTTTGCAATATAGGCTCTTATCAGTGGCACTTTTGCCTCTTTGGCTTGATGCTCGAGTCCAAGCAGTCATGAAATGTGCTTATTGGCCTCGGAGCTTTGTGATAAGACATGGCTCCACATAATCCATCCGTACTGTTGGTTTCCCCACTTATTTGAATGGAGAAGTTGGGGCTCCTTTCTGTCGGTCAGAGATCCCCCCCTTGATGTTGGGGCTCTTGGTAAATGACTTCCTTGTTCCTGAGCAATCTCTTTGACTTCTGTGGAAAGCCAGGTGCCTTGCCTCTGGGCAGAGTTTAAATGCAGCAAGTCTTCACCCAAAATAAACCTGTATCCTGTAACGCTCTGTTCCTCTGGGGTCCTCGGTTAATCGCCCAAATCCTGGTTCAACAATGAAGACAATTGAATTAGCAGATGAACTATATCTGCATGTGTCACAGATTCCTGATGGATTGGTGTGACTCTGTGTGTGTGTGTGTGTTATACATAAACTGTATATATAGGGGAGTAACAATAGTGTCACAATGCATCACAATACAAAAATGCATCAATATGTATCGTGGATATAGTGGCAATATGTGTTGCGGTAATTCACCCAAAATCCGTGTGAGAAGAAAATTCAAGCTTACAGAGTTTTAGTGTCAGTACTACATTAAACTACTTGATATAATGTTGAATATAATGTATAATAATGCAATGGGGGGATATTTGTGGGTTCTAATAATGCCAAATGTCTTATGTTGTTACCAGTAAACAGTGGCTGTGATTATTTTAAATATATCTAGTCAGTGACAGAATGCAAGCATATTCGTATAAAATAATTCTGTATTTTCAGTTTCATCAATATTTTTATTCTGGTGTCACGTCCTGTGAATTTGCTTACAAGCACCAAGTCCAACCCTTTTCATTTACACCCATAATGTAAAAAACAAATGTAATATTTTAATCAACAGTATCTTTTTTGTTAACCTTTTACCACTTGTCTTGGAGTATCGCAATAATATCATCTTTTGAGTTCAGTATCGTGAGATGTATCGAATCGTGACATGAGGGTATCGTTACACCCCTACCCTACAGTATGTATACTTATATACAAGTATATCATTTTATTTTAATGAATACAGTATGATACTCACTATCGAAATAATTTAAAATGTTTGTTTGATCTGTTAAAATCTCTAAATCGTCATTTTTTTCAGATGTAACTACATTTCTAAGTGAATCATAATCTGGTTATGCATTCATTCAAATGTACAGCATATTTGTGAACCCCTTTACACAGCAAAATCCCCAGTGTTAAATTAACACTGCGAAGTGTGAATTATATAAACTCTAAGCAGAGTGAACACTGAAGCAGTGTCAAAGTTAATTAGATAATTAAGTGAATAATTGAGTGATGATTTAACATTATGATTTTAACAAGCAGAATCTCTGAAGGAGAAAACAGTAATTTTAAGTCACCATTATGGTGATCAGTGTTTGGTTTAGCTGGGCTCTTGACCCTTAAATCATTAACTTTAGATTTTGTTTGGCTGCTGTATGTGACTTATAACAGCCAGATGAACAAATAGAAAAGCTACATTTAATAGCTAAACAGTTTGGCTGTTATAAGTCACATATTTAATGTTTAAGGTTTAAAAGTTCTGTATTTCATGAAGCTAAAAGTGTGTAGTGTAGCTAAATATCTCTATTTCAATTTGATTTGTTTAACATTTTGGTTAATAAATAATTCCTATACTTCCATTTATGCTGTAGTTTTGATGAATTCAGTAATGTTATAAAATGTGAAAAAATGTATCATGCTAAAGTTACTGGCATTATATTCTCATGACACTGATGATGGAATATTGACAATAGGTGTGTTTGTCTTGAAGTGGTGCTGCGTGGACCGTTCATGTAAAAGATATAGCACTTTGAAAATTAACATATACCAACATGATGATTTATAAGCAGCAGTGTATGTGCTTGGTAAGTATTATGATCATATCAAGATCTTGAAATGTCACAGTGTTTGTTGCCTTTATATTTGCATGCAGTCTGTGATAATAGTGTGACATCTGGAAAACTCTTGTGGTTATTGCCATGGCCAGTGATAAAACTTTATGTAAATTGTTCCCATAAACGAGATCAAATTCCTGTCATGTACAAATAAATTTATTGCACAAGCTTAAATGAATACATAACTTTATTTAAATAAATGCTTTGTCATAACAAAAAAAAAAAAAGACAAAGGTTAAAAGAGTACATAAATTACAAGTTGAATAAATATTACACAGTGATATTCACTTTCTTAATAATTTGATTTTTTTTTTTTTTCATTTTATTGGTTTTTAATAAGAGTTCCAAATGCTGAACATTTTTTAGAGTCCTCCAGCCACTAATGGGTCTTTTTCACATGCCAGTTTAAGCCACATTTAGGTGGTCAATCATCAAGTCTTTTCTCATCCAAAAAAAAAAAAAAAAAAAATTCAATAAAGAAAAAAAACTGTTATGCATTCAGAGAAAGAAAACCTGTCGTTTCTACTGTAGTGTAAGTTATGAACACTGCTGTCTACCCAAGTAGGAGATTCGGAATCTGATGAAAGCAGATAAAAAGCAACATGCTGCGTCCTGGCAATCGATAGTCTTTTACCTCTAATTACAAATCAGAACGGATCAAAATCACATTAATGACATTTCTTTCCCATTCTCACAATGACACCCCAGATGGATTCTAAGGTAAAACTCAATTTCAGCCACAGTGCATCGTCTTATAACATTCAGGGTTTTCATATAAACACTTTATTTTGTTTCCTTGTGACCAAAGCCGTTGCGTGCCTGCTTATCAGATTCCGAGACTGTCTATCTAAAAAAAATTCTACTATGAAGTGTGAAGCACTGCAAAAACGTTGTATTTTTGTCTGGTTTTTCAGTAAAAACATCTAGACGTTTTTTAAAACAAGATCAATTGACTTGAGAAGCAACAGTTTGGAATAAAATGTCTTGAATTATCACGTTCTTCCATCCATGGAACACGCAAGAAGATATTTGCAGCTGCGTTATGAACAAGTGAACGGTGAACACGGCTGTCAAGCAAGATTTTCAACTCCTTTTTTTTGCACAAAGCTCTCGTACAACTTTCTACGACTTGTGTGGTGCTTCGTTTGTTCATTTTGAAAGCTTGACAAAGTGAGCAGCTCGGACATTATGCTAAACTTCTCCTTTGGTGTTCACACGGAAGAAAGTGAGTCAAAATGGTTTGGAACACAAATTTTGGTTTTTGGCCATACTAGTTCCCAAAAAGTTTGAATGCGATTCAAGATATGATTTTGCTTTTCAAGTAAATTCAACTACTTGTAAAGTCGTTCAGATGATTTTACCAGGAAAACAAGACACCGATACTGATTAAGAAAAGGATTTTTGCAGTATGTGTTGTGTGTTGTGAAGTGAGATCACCGCTTAAGGCCCTCACCCGCTCTCCTTCTCCCCGGATATCACTGAGACGCAAAGTCTATTAAGAGTAGATGGAGAATAGACTGTGATTGGTTGTATTACTGGTAAACCCACTGAATGATGGCGTGGGTCTCAGGCTTGGGCTTGCGAAGCCCCTGTCAAAGGTACTCAGGCAGGGTATCTGTCCGAGGCCTGCTCCTGCTCCTATACCTGAACTGAGATTCACTTTGAGACGGCACGAAACGTGTGGCAAGGTAAGGAATTAAGTGCAAGCTGCTTTCTTTAAATGGGGGAGGGGGCTTTCGACATGGACCTGGATTACTCTGATTACTGATTTCGCCACCGGTGGTAAAGACACCTACCAGGCGAATTGTGCAATAACTGCGGCGACTACGCCTCCTCGCGACACCTACGAGAGTCTGGTTAACCCGCACGCCCTGAACTCGCTCTCTTTCTCTCACTCACCACCACCTCCCATCTTGTCATTCGCAATTCTTTATTTGACATGCAACCCGTGGTTATTTAAAATTACAGCCAGGCCCACACGGGATGGAATTCTACGCAACGTAATTTGATTGTGCTTTCAGCTACCAATAAGAACGCAGTTCTCTCAACTCCACGACGTCTGAAATATGGAATATGCAGATAGCGCCTGGTTATGATGGGTGAGATCTGGATAGATCAGTGGCTATTTTTACAGCCCCCTCCCTGCAGTGAAACTATGATCATTCGGGCCCCGGAATAAGATCCGGACAACGGACCCATTGTGGCAGGGAATGGCTTCACTTACTCTTCAAGAGCTGACTGGTGAGTATCCCTGTTTGATGTATAGCTTGATTGAAAATACTCTCTTGTCAGCAATTACACACATTTGCAGTCTCTGTCAAATCAATCGTCAGCTTATTCGTAAGAGAAATAACAGTAAATGAGCTAGCGCTAGCTGGACTACGATCTCCCTATCTTAGCCTCGGTGCAGGGAGCGATTTCTGATAGCTGCTTGACATACAATGTAGCGTAACGGATTTCATATCTGATCTGATGCAATATTTGAACGCAATTGAGGTCCTTCGTCAATATGAAAAGGCTGTTTCGTTCCCCTTGGCTATTGTGGAACGTTCACGTCACCATTCAAATGTATTTGCATGTAGGAAGGCACTGAGACTCGCACACTGAACGTCACTGCGGTGAAACGCACCTTCTGTTTTTCCACCGTGCCTCGAGGTTCGATGAAATGCAGAAATACAAATTAAATGTGTCATCATGCTAACCAAAAGAGCTATTACCGATTTGTGAACAGTCAAAGTGGGCGGAGCTTAAAAAGTGGTCCGACCTGCATTCAAATGAGCGAGTTGTCACTGTGACAGGTCAGATGGAAATATGCAAATTGATAATGCTAAAACTCCTTTGCTGAGCACCAGATCGTTGTGGTTGTTTGTTAAGGACAACAAAACAAAAAAGAAAGAAAACATTCAATAATCTAGAGTTAAAGGTAATATACCAAGGTTGCACCTATTTTCAGTGAAACCACATGGTCGAGGAACATGGCTCATAAGTGGACTTTCATTACCTCCATGAAGTCAAAGGAAACAGCACATAACAAAAAAAATAATAAAATAAAACATTACAGACAGAAAGAAACTACCGCTCTGCACGGTGAACGTCCGTCAAAGTTCAAACGCAAGGGGTTACAGCATCTGTCTCGATTTTAACTCAGCCCAGATGCCACGATATCTGATACCAAACTATTCCAGAGTGGCCCTTTCTTTTCTAGGCGTGGACACCGATTGATTCTCTGTGTGGACTTTATTTCTCGTTCGGGATCGCTCTGCTCTGCTGTAAAACTGCGTGGCAGCGTCTGTTTACATAGGCACGGTTGGCATGTTAGGTAAGCTACACAGTCTGGAGCCACTGAAACAGATTTGTCTAATGGGATCCTGGTTTTCACTACGTTCTGGGAGGGATATGCCACAAAGACAAAAAAAAAAAAAACATTTCTTTTTTTTTTTTGAAAGCTATCGCCGTATTTCATTGCTCACGCAGGTGTGCACGCAAACGCACACTCGTACACACACAAGCAGGTTCCCCAATGAATAAGTGCTCTGACATGACAAAAAAAGCCAGATAGAGATGACCGTATCAGCAGATCTCTAACATGTGTTTTCCTTTTTTTTCTTTTCTTTTGGAAAACAAATGTTTTTTTTGTTTTTTTTTAATTCAAATAGTAAGAGTTCCTGCTATCTCCCTTGATACCTTGACAACAGAAGATGTAAAAGACCAAGATAGCCCTGTTAATATTCAACATGCCATATATTCTTTTTTTTTTGTAGTTTTTTGTTTTATGTTAACTTTAAACAAAACAGTATGGTGCTCAAACCCCAGCTTCTATAAAAATATATAATTGTGTGTATATATTTTTAACATTTTGTTGTTGTTGTTGTTGCCGGGACTCAGCTCTAGCAGGGGGCTCCTCTTATTGGCTGAGTCCGGTGAGATAGAGATGAGCGCTCAGTCAAAACGATTCCTGTGGGTTATCTCACTTTAACGTTTTCTTTTTAGTCTGATTGTTCATATTTGTAATAGCTGTTGTGTTTCTTTGTCGTTTTGCATCAAAATCTCAAAGTGACTGGCGGGTAGACTGGTGGGACAGGACAAGGAGGGTGGGCCCTAGGTCTGGTGATCAGGGTGGGTTGATTCTCACTCGTTGTTGTTACTGTTCTCCAAATCCTTGCACTGGATGTTACCGCCGCTGTAGTCAGTGCCGGGCAGCTGCACGCCATATTTGTCCACGCACCAGCAGATGCCTCGTTTCCGGCCGCGGGAGGGCTTGCACTGCAGGGTGGACAAGGGACAAAGGGTCATATAACTGCAAGCAGTCCAACACAATGAGAATGCCTCAACTAGAACCAGTGTGCGTTCACAAAATATTTGTGGTGTGATGTAATTAGAAAAAGACAGTCAATTCAAGTGTACAATTCAACATGACTGTGTTGATTATAATGGGAGTGAAACTACTCTTTTAACACAACTATTAAACTCATTTTCTTCAGTAGACTTTAAAGAAAAAAAACAAACATTATAGCTACAGCTGTAAAGATGTATGAACATGGGAGTTGAAGTAATGGTCTTTTTAAGCATTTAAAGGGTTAGTCATCAATCAGTCTGAACCCATAAGAGTGACTTTTGTTCATCTTCAAAACACAAATGAAGATCTTTCTGATGACATCTGAGGGTTTTTCTGTCCCTCCATTGATAGCTACGCAACTACAACACATTATCACCCTTTGGCATCATATAGGTGACACCATATGACATTTCGTCGAAATACTACGCACATGGAACCCTTTAGCATCAATATAACACCAACTGTAATGGGTAGGTTTAGGTCTGGGGTAGGGTCTGCGTCTAGCGTCATATTGATGCTAAAGGATGTATGACGCCTTGGGTTCTGCGTGTTATATTGACGCTAAAGGGTGCCATATGCTTAGTATTTGGACGAAATGTCATATGGCGTCACCTAAAAGGATGAGAACAGGCTCGCAACTACCACTTAGACGCTTCAAAAAGTTTATAAAGAGATCGTAAAACTAATCCATTTGAATTGAGTTGCTTTAAAATTCAATCTGTTTATCGTAAAAAGCAGTCATGTCTCTTTAGAAAATTTAGACTAAACCGCTCATTTGTTTTCCAAAGATTTTGGTTTGGAACGATGGGTGAGTAATTAATGATTTAATAGATTTTGAAATTTTTTTTTTTTTTGGGTGAACTATCCCTTTAAAGAACAGTAAAAGAGCTAAAATTCCGTTTGAATTTTTTGCAAATATTATGTATTATTTTAAATATGCATGCATTCACTCTTAATAATATGCATTCAACGGCTGTTACCTGCTTGCGCTTGAAGAAGCCCTTCCTGTCACAGTTAGGCAGGTAGAGGGAAAGAGCCATGACGCGTGAGGTGTCTTTCATATTTTGAATGACTCCATCCAGCTTCCTTCTGCAGGGACCCTGCGTCAGACCAACACATTGTGAGTTACATCATCACCTCAGTGTTTACGGCTAGCTATCATTTTACTGCAGCTGCTGCGTCACACAACTTACAAATTCAGGCTCATGCTTGTCGATGGGAAGGGGGGAGTAATCCATGGTTCCCAGTGAGCGAAGCTTCTCCTGTTGTTTCTTCTTGTCCTTGCGCACGGCAGCATGCTTCTTGCTGTTGATTACATCTGGAATTTTAAGGGGAATTTTAGGACTCTGGTCTTCAGTCGTGTCTGGCTTCACTGTATCATCATGCTCTATTGATTCACGATCTAAGACAAAGAGAATCAAACAATACGCGTTAACTAGGCTTTTACTGCAAGGAAATGTGAGTGCAAAACTCACAGCCATGATGCTAAAGTGGTTGCTAGGGCGTTGCTATTGTTTTTAGTATATTATTCTCTGTTATAGTCTTGTCTCTGGTCCTTTGGTGTGAATCTATGGGATTTTTTCACTCGCTTTATCATCCGCCCAGCTAAAAAATGCATTAGCGAACCTTAACAAGTCGCACAATTTGGTATCATTCAAATTATAGTACCAACATTGTTTGATTGGCCATTTCAGTCAGTTTGACAGTGACGAGCACTGTAAGACCACTGAGACATGCCAGCATAACATTTTTAAACTTTGGTTATACTTTATTTTAAGGTGATGTAGTTGCATTGTACTTACTCAAATAAGAACTGCTTAATATTACTGTAGAGTTATGGTTAGGGTTTGGTTTAGGGTTAGTTACTTGTTGTAAATATGCATAATTTACAGTTATTACTATAATAAGGACACGTGGTAACGTCAGCTTAAAATAAATTGTTACCAAAACTTGCGGACAAAGTGGTGTGTAATGGAGTCGGTGGTTAGACAACTGGTCGACTATTGTGATATGTTGTATTTTAGGTTGTTTAGGTTGCTTTTTTCTTACAAATCCTGGTTGCTAATGAGTGTCTAGAGTGTAAACATTAAAGCAACTGTTTCTTCACCAAATGTTTCCTATGCATTTGTTTACAAAGGGAGGGGGCAGCATCAACAGATGATGACCATCCCCCCCAACCTATCACGCCCTATACAACTTGAAACAAAATCCTCAAAATTCTAATGCTATTTGATGGCATTTTCTAAAATGCAGTTAGGTGTACTGTCTAAACATTGAATGCGCTTCTGTTTTTACAGCTGAATAATTCCTTCGATTACATTTCCAGCACATGTGCATAAGTGCGAACAGAAACGACTTTTCAAAGGACCCTTAACAGCTCACTTGAAGAACTTTGAAGTCACAATAACCATAACACCATGACAACCACAACCTTATTCTTCAAGAATCTAAGGCTGTGTCCAACATGTGTCCAGGGGAAATGTGGAGAAATTGCAGAACAAGTCATTCAAGCAGCATGTATAGTTTGATAGTAAAACTCCACAGGATTCATGCCTCTACTTATAAATTGTCTTTCCACTGAAGTCAAATACTTTGGATGCAGAGCGAAGCCAAACATAGTACATCCAGAGGAGATTAACAGATCATTAACACTAAGCATACAATATCAGGAGATAAAATTACATTGGCATTTAGTCATCCAAACCAGTAAAATCATCTAAAAATTGAACATTTATCATATTTGCCAAATTCAATTCAAATGAATTTGTATAGTCCTTTTTACAATACATGTTGTTTCAAAGCAGCTTTACAAAAAGTGCATTTTTGAGAATAGCAGAGGGCCTAACACCGATCCTTGAGGTATTCCGTTCTACTGACGTTATCCCCATTTCAACAAACAAAATGCCAAATTCCAATACCAAATTTCATTTTTGATTGGAGTTATTATAGGAAGTGTATTTGTTTATGGTAGTGGTTTAATTATATAATTTACTGAATATTATATTGTTTCCTTTCAGACATGAAGCGATTATTAAATCATATAAAAAGATATTCGAAGTATTTTTTCTGATATTGCATCTTATTGTGGCTTCATTCGAGAATCAATTCGAATGGACGTACGGATTGGGTCATGAAACATCAAGGCCGTTGGGGGTGCCAAGTATTTTTTTTGAGCATACAGCCAAGAGTGCATTATCAGACAGCTGAGGCAGCCAGGAGAAATGACTGAGATAACTGCCCTCCGAGCTCCAGTGCTTCACATTGCTGCGGACTGGGGCAGGGTGTTCTGGAGCGGGCCGGTGGTGAAAGAGTCTGTCTGACCTGGAGACGCATGGGGCGGGTGCCTGGTCATTACAGGAATTGGTTTCCTGGCTTCTGAAGTTACAATCAGAGCATGGTGCTGTCTCTTTGAAATCAATCCTGCAACCCATGACTTGGCAGACTGAAATTTCTATACAGATTTCCCCGCAGGTTTGGGCTCCCGAAGCCACCGAATTTGAGATCACCTCATGGAAATGTCATAGGGAAGTTTGCCTAGAGGGAGATTTACATGGCTTAGAAATGTAGACTTAAAAGGGAGGGTGCAGGATGACTGGGTTGGCAAAAACAATTCCTTAACGGTTGTTTTCGTGACTTTACTCTTTGCGCACGGTCCAAAAGCATCGTGTTTAAGAAATCAGCAATGACTAGAGTTTGTAAACCACTAAATTCGTCTTTTCAGTCGCAGGCTTTTCGGAGTGAGGACCAAAATCACTTTTTCCATGCTCGTGGTCCCCAGCTTGTAAAGGTTTAGCGGGTCTGTGTTTAACATCTGACACACAGCCAAGATCCTGGAGCCAGGCCAAACCAGACGTATCACGTGTAGCCCGTCTATTCAAATGAGCTTTGGAAAGAATGCTCAAGAGGTATTGGTGTCTCTCCTCTTGGTCTTGCAAAACTTTTCATTAAGATAAAGGGACCCGAGCCTGGCCAAAAGAGATGCATCTGATAGGGCTCCGTTTAATAATTTACATGTCCGCTGGGCAATTATACTTCATGAATATCCACAGTTTCTTACAGCTTGGGGGCTAATGATGAAAGCAGATCCCCGTTTGAGTTGCGTCGTCACCTAGTCTGATTTCTTTTTCAGAACGTGCAGCCAAACAAGCCGACAAATGCAAATACAAGGTGCTTCTGAAATCCTTGGGGGCCTCAAACCATGTCCTTCAGTCTCTTATTAGCATGCACGGTTAGAATTAGGTCTTGCTATTGTTAAATATTCAGACGAGCTCTCCTTTGAAAGTCGTTCTTGAAGCAGGCCATTCTGCTGGGCTTGTCTTTGTCTTGCATTCATTGTCACAGACCAACCATGGCATCCCTGGCAAGACTCCACTGCTAAATATTTAAAGCCTGGACCGTGTCCACAACATGCTTGGGCCGCTGTAGCAGATAAGCATCCTATATTACCAGAAAGAAATGCAACTACTGCCAGTTCAAGTCAGGGTAATTGCAAAGTAACATTAAAAGCTACACTTTGGGATAAAAGTTTCCATGTTGCAATATGCTATCAGTTACAACCAAGAAAGTCGTCGTATAACTTACTATTCAAACGAGTCCCCTGTAATTCAGGAGTCAGGACAATGCAAAGTGATGACACCTTAAGGCTGAAAGCACATGTGCGCACCTCTTCGTCGCCTGACCGTGTCTCATGTCATCAACACTCCGAAACATGAACTCAAGAGGTGCTCTTCAGGACATCAGTGGATCACTCGAAGTCGCTGATTTCAATTAGCTCGGACAATGGCAAGAGAGCGATACTGTCTATAAGCTCAAGGCATCTTTCCGTCAAGAGTATCAATCTTTCCATCTTTTATTTATCAACTTGTTTATTCTTAAGATTCGATATAATCATTTAAAGGGGACATGCAATTGTTCACGTGCTGCCGCTTAAAGTGGAAAAACACCTTCGGATTTTCTACAGGCGACACTGAAAAGCCAAAAATGATAAAGAGCCCATGAGAAGGATTCATTTTAGGATGTTTTGAAGGTTTTAAACTGTAGGAAGTACGACTGGGTGTTATGATGGTAGAACTGCGTCAGCCAGAGTTTATACCATTTAAACTCTGGTAGATATATTTGCATAACTATCAGTGGACAGGACTGCTTTACATTGTTTACACATGAGAGCGACAAAGAAACAAGTAGTAATGTGAAAATGCGAATGAGAATAAAATAAATGCTTTTTACAAACATTTACTTGAACTCTCGAGTGCCTCGGCTTCATTTGCGGTTCATGATTTAGCGTCATAACTACTCGTTGCGTTCGTTTAGTAAGTAATAGTACACATGGAGTGTTATATGATGTATACTAGTACACATAATAGCAATTAGAGTGTTAGCGTGAGCTTTATCAAACCATTTTCAAATAAATCGGCTATTCTGAGCAAGCAAAATTTTGGGTCCAAGCTTCAGATCACCTTTCCCATGATCCTCAACAACCAAATGTAACAACTGTAACAGATGCTGTATCTTATCTGTCCTCTCAAGAATCCTGCAGGGCACAAAATTTGAGGCAGCACTTTGGAACCACATCTGAACCTGTGCTGCAGGCAAGAAATTAGGCACCTTTTGTTCTCCTTCCCTAAAGAAACGTGACACTGCGGCTCCCCCTCCACCACCCCGAAGCACATGACAGGACGTTTCAACAGGTCGGCGTCTTCTGCTGAGCCACATGGTTACAGCCCCGCTGTCTGCTTACATTCTGTATGTTTAATTTTGTAAATGCGAGCCGTAAACCCATAGATTAAATAGATTGTTTTTGGTTTGGTCAGCCTAACATGTGTTCTTATTTAAGCAGGGCCCAGCGTGAGGATGTCGCAGCCTGGGAATCACGTTTCTGACAGAGACGAGACTACTGTGCAAGCTGATTTTCTTCACAGCTGTTACTCACTAGCTTTCCAGGTGCCAATGACAAATACACGCTGGGCAGATTGCTGTTAAACTTTACTGGAAGAAGTCATTCAAGCATGCTAAATAGGTTCCCTGCTTGCATACCTCTGCAAACGATGACAGGGCACTTGATATATGGTTAAAAGTAACCAATGTGCAGATTATACAAAGTTAGGCATCACTTCCAAAAAGTGCAAGAGATCTATTCAGATCCTTTTCAGTGAAGCCATCCATATATCTGTCAATGTCAGTCTGATGTTGCAAGCAAGTATACGTTTCTGTGTGAAGTTTGGCCTGTGGCATAAAATATAAAAATTTGATGACAGACAGGCAATAGAAGAACAACTGCGTTCCATTCCCTTGTAATCGTTGTTTAGTTATGGCAAGGTCTCTGGTGGGTAAATAAAACGCATAAATCAGAGATACAGAAGTAACCGAATACAACAGCCAACTTCTTTTGGCCCGATTCTTTGACGTTTTTTTTTTATTCGCACGCTCTTAGATTCAGACCGTGGTGTGCAATCGTTGCTAAAACAGACTTAACGGAAAAGTAGCCTGTAGACATATCTGTTGGCAACAGCATCCAAGATCCACATGGCATGTCCAAACAGAAAGTCTCCCATGTGATCATTGACACATCTGCAGAATTTGCCAATCCGTCAATGGCAAGGCATAACCTTTTGTACTTGGCTCAAAACATTCAATCTGTAAATCGCGAGTGCCAGCATTCAAGGCCATGAAGGTATGAGACTATTCACATGTTATGTTCCTTGAGTGAGAAATGATTCCTGTATTTCAATTTTATGTTTGCATAACTGTGAAACTGAGGGGGAATAAAAATGGATCAGGAAGGCACGAGCCAAAAAGCTCTGAATCCTAATGCGGGCAAGGACGCTTGACCACCACCACCACCACCACCACCCCTCCCCACCCCACTCTCTCTCTCTCTCTCTCTCTGTCTGTCCTGCCCAGCTAGTAAAACCAGGCTGAAACCGAATACCACGGGAGGCTAGAAGCGTTCCTCTAAATTCATCCCCATGCTTGACGAACAGCTCTTGATAGATCGGCTCCACACACATTTTGCTGAATCACAAGGGCTCGACTGTGTGCCCACTGCAATCACAGAAGGGGTAAACCAGCAACCACACTCATCAGAGGACTTCAGATAGAGACAAACGGGTTTCTGATGTGCACCTGTGTGCGAGGGGGTTGTTTTTGTGTACAAACACCCACGGCTGAATTAAACCTCATCTGTTTTATGATATATGTGCTGTCTTGTTGTCTGAAATATATAGAAGTGAAACCACATAGACCATTTTTGTTCATGTAGCTCAACTGGTAGAGTTTTGCACCAACAACGCCAAGGTTGGGGGTTCGATTCCAGACAAAAGCAGGACTTGAACGCACCGAATAAAACCATTTGCCAAATACATAAATTTAAATAAATATGCATGCTGTGCACGGTTATTCTTCATTAACATACGATTTTTGCAGATATGAGGGCTTGTAGACACACTACAGCTACTCTCCTTTCATGGATTTAATATTTGAACGGTAATCCATCCCTCAACACCACCCACAGACTTTAGACCTAAATTCAGAGCAACCTAGAATCTCAATCAAGAATATCATGAGACGTGGGTACACCGTATACAATGATGAGAGGTGTGATCATAACAATGGAGGAGTCACTAATTCAATAGAGCACCATTGCCAAATCAAACACTATGCACAAAGCAAGACTGTATGGAGTTATGCATCTTTCTTGGGGCTCTTTGCACAGTTCTGAGCAGCATACTGAATTATGCAGTTCTGTGAGTCTGATGCTGCTTTGCTTCTGTGCCAATGCAGCATCAGAGCTGCCTTGAACTTTGTCAAGATAAAATATATTAGTTTATCTTTTTCGGATTTGTTACAGTTTATGATTTGACAATATTTCTTTAAAAAAGTACTGTGGTATTGCCATTATTTGAGACCCCAACCATGGCATTTATTTGGAAGTATGTCCAAAACAATACATGATGATACTATGGTAGATGCCAACAAGCATGGTAGGCTACATGACCAAAACATGGTACTTTTAGTTGTAGGCTTGTGTTTGTTGATATTGGCTTTGAATAAAATAATCTACACTAATACTTATAATGCGCAGCACTCAAATGTGGAAGTACCAGATTATAATACAATGGTAACAGAATGGTGGCATATTTACATTATACGTGCAAAAATACCATGGTACATTTCCATAAAACGCGGTAGGCTACAACCGCGGTAGTACTATTTTTGTAAATGCATTTGCAGCGTAAAGATTGCATTGGAAATCGTTTGTTAATGATTGGCTTTGTATGAAACACAAACAGGTTTCGCTAATCCTAACAATATGCAGTGCTGGAATATGATGGAAAATAGCGGTGAGCAGCACAGACCGGCCACAACACTGAAAAGCTCATGCAGAAACATGCGCACGCAATAAAACTGGATCAGCGCAAGCCACAAAGTTCCCACCAGACACACGATCTCAACGCAACAATGCCTTCGTGCAACAAAGGCGCACTGCTTTCCAGTTAACTTACCAATAGGTGGGTGCGGTGGTTTGTATCCCTTCTCGTTCGTGCACACTCCCCTGCCGTGTAGCAGGGCGTGAAGCGGCTTCTCCTCGCCGTTGCGCGGCAGGCAGCGCAGCCCGTGCGTGCATGTACCGGTGTATACCCCGCATGCCTGCCCCTCCGCCAGAGCGCAAGTCAAGCAGCAGCCGCAGCCAGGCTCCTTCACCAGCTGACAGCCCACCGGGACCGGAGGACACATGGAGAGCGCCTTCTGATCGCACGGCTCGCACGGCACATAAGAGCCTCCGCTGATGGACAACGCCGTCAGAAATGTACCCAGCACAAGAAGAGCCATAATTCGTGTCAAAATGAATGAGGTCCGATGGCGCAAAAAAAAAAAAAGAAAGAAAAAAAAAAAAAAAAAAACACAACTAGATATGAGAACGCATGAACGTTTGGCTCAGATTCGACTCAAAGGAAAAGTCCGCATGTAAAGTGAAAGCACTGGTTGTGGTGTTTTAAAAACGATTAAATTATAAACAGTCTCTTCAAAATCTTGTGATAAAGAACAATCCGGTGGATTTTCATATAAATACACATAAAATAAATGAATCACATAGGTATTCTCCAATAGTCCAGTTTGTGCGCAATTGGTTGCGCACTGAAATTCTGGACTTTCCGATTCCAAAACACTTTCCCCTCTGGAAGTTTTCTGAGCAGACTGATCAACTTCACAGCAGTGCTTGCCTTTTTAAAAACAGCCAAACCCAAACCCCTAACTATGAATAAGCCAAACAGCGGAGAAGGGAGGCGCACTTGCCAGATCGTGGCGCAGCGCCAGCGCCTTTTCCCCCCCTCGGCAATAGGATCAGTCTTTTACGCAGTGATGCCAAGAGCGCAGAGCAAAACACAAATCCATGCAAAATCGTAGATATGATCCTCGGAGATCGTCCGTGCACTTTGTGGCTGATAACGTCAGATTCGTGCGCGAAGCTCAGCGGCTTTCCAACAGATTCAAGACAAAACGCGACAAAAGGCAACATGGATGTGACATGATAAAGACGCTTCCTCGCATACACATGCGTTATGCAGAACACACACACACACAAGAGCACGATTAGAAGCGCTCTAGCTGCTGCAGGCACCACCCGTATATTAGTGAGCGCACAGAACATGTACGAGTAGGGGAGAACGGGGAGTGTTTTGTTTCAACGTCTGTAACTCTGTATTGTTTTGCTGTATGCGTCTCAAACTGTTTTATAGCATTCCCATGTTTGGCTTCGACAAATTCAAGTCGTTTTGAAATCTATTGCTCAAACCGTTAAATGAGTGTGAAGTACAAAGTGTGCTGTTTACACAAGTTGCACTACATTAATCAAATAGCCTGTACTTTTATAACGACTATGCCATTTTTCAATCACCAAACAGTGAACATATATGTTTGCATTCTAAACAAGGCTAACAAGTGTCAGTCGCACACTTGAATGTGTCACAACTTTCCAAAGATAGAGAGATTGTTTGAATGCTATATCAAATTTGACAAGAGAAGCTGCTAATTCAGATAATATGTCATGTAATCTTCATCACAAATGGAATCAAAAGCCAGATGTGAATGTATACCGACTCTTCTCATTAGAGTGGCAATCATCAATAGTGATCCCATGTTTCTAAATGGTTAAACTAACAGGGTTACAGTTCAGCTTGGTCACTTATAAGCAACATTCACATGTGCAGGAATAGCTACTGACTGCAACCATGAAGACAAATCACTGCAGTGCAAAATTAAAACCAGCTGAGGTGTGTGGTAAATACTGTGGTAAATGCTTAGAGTCTCTTTTCTCTCATGCAGAGAGGTCATGCCAAGTCTCGTTTGAGCTTTAATTACAGTGGTCTTGGTGGTAGTTGAAGAATAGGCAATCTACACCCACCTGTTCCAAACTTTGAACAACTGAAACCACACTTTGAAAAAGATGAGATTTAACAGACACGATTGTTCACTCGTGTCCCTATTGTCTCTCTGTTGTTTACATGTCCCTGGTTTGCCTTATAGAGCGCTCCGAAATGGCATTTGCACATGTCCCATATGTAAAGTTCATCAGTGTGGCAAAATGAGTTGCTCTGTTTTGCTTAAAAATGGCTTTGTCAGATGTGTGATACCAAGTTTAAAGGACTGCATGTGATATTTTATTTTGTTTTTCATACATGCATTGTGTCTCTTGTTTTGCCCAGCTGTACAAGACTGAGTGTCGGTGTGGGCCTCGCTGTTGGATTCACTTCACCTCTGAGATTTTGACCACTAGAAGGAGCTGTTAGCAATGGTAAGAGAGGCTCACCGTGGAATGAACGCTGGCCCGCAGACGCTGATGTTTCATTAGAGATTTACACGGTGCTGCTGTTACACATATCACACTCTGGAGTCGAAGAGACAAACATCAGCCGTCAAGAATGCGTATGCTGTTTTGATAGGCTACGTGACGTTTAATGCACCGTTGTCTCTGTATGCATGTTTAGAAAACATCATCTGTATAGGCCTGTAGGCTATTGTTTTGATAATCATTTCAAATAAGTCTGAATTGTTTGACTGATGTCATCTTTACTCTAATGGGTCCACAGTGCACGTCTTCCTGGCATTGGTTGCTCATGGTGTCCGCAAAGATGTTTTGCTGTTCATTGAATTATGCCTGTTTTTATTTTAGTTCCTGTATGGTCAACCATTCTGGACCTGAACCGGGACTGTTTTCCAGTCGTATAAGATATCAGATTGCCCCGGTTCACTCACAGTGTATTTATCCCTGCCTGGATATAAAACAAACTTAATGGATGCAGAGTGCACAAGTTACTGGAAACAAGCTGGAACTGTTATACGCTCACTAATGAGGAGATAAACTGTTGCAAATTACTGGTGTGAACGCTACTAACACTCACACAGTATCACGTGGATGTGGTTTATGGTTGATGATATTGAGTCATTTATTTTATCTAAAAAAAGAAGTCATGTTTTTATTTGAAAAGATATTCAAATTTTATACATATGAAAACGTATTTATTTTATAAAATATTGTGCATATGTTTTAATGTAAAGTATTGTCTCAAAAATAAGTCATATTTTTTTTTACAAAAACATAAAAAAAATTTGTATAAACTTTTTTTTACATATTTTTTTATAATTGTATTATAATGTATAATGTTTTTTATTTTATATTTTTTTATAAACTATTTTTTATTTTATAAAAATGCTGCATATCTTGTTTTAATTTAGGCTATGGGATACAATATTACAAAAAAAATCTGTATTTTTTTTTTTTACAATATATTAAAAACATTATTTTATGAATTGTAAATTTATTTTTATATTGTATAAAGATAATATTTATACAAAGTTATTAAATGTAGGTCTAATCCAATAAAAAATATTGTCGTTTTTCTTTTATCACAATGACAAAGTGACTGATATCACTGTATTTCACATTTTGTTCAGAGACTTTTAACATGAAAAACTGATCATTTATTCAGTAAAAATCATTAAGAATTATTTCTTAAATCAATATGCTTAAAATAATATATCCATACCTTCTCAGAAATGTTATCATAATTGGTCATCTATTTTAAAGTTTTTTTTCATCCTCAATATAACTTTCCATCCTGTTGGTCTTTTATGCTTTTAAATAACAACAGTCACTTCCCTCATGACGTCATCCTACAGGAAGTGACTTCATTTCGGAGGGAAAGCAAACGCACAAGACTCTGTGAGTATATCTTTTCTCAATTTTAATCACGTTTTAATTGTGTTGTCTGGGTGTTTGAATATTTAGGATGTTTGAAAATGTTTCTTCAGCTTGGAAATGTAGTCGCCCACATGGTGAAAAATCGATGGAAAAATGTTGTCAGTGGAAGAAAGGTGTCTATGTACAAATATTATGAGTAGGATGTGGTCTGTGAACATCAGTGTAGGAATTTTCTCGCACTCCATCATGTCTGCGTCACAATGAAAAACGCCTTAATTGGTAAATTAATGTCTCTAGTGGTGTAATGCTTCCATCTGTCTTTTATTCAGTCAGCCTTGTGGGCGTCGTACTGTTTACACAAACTAATGATTTCAAGCGTTAACATGTATGTTAATATGTAGCTGTGCGACTGTACAATGCTGTTTTGTGTGTGTGGTGAGCTGCTCTGGTCTTATTTTAGAAAGTATTATTTTTAATAGTGTTTAACTTATTCATATTTTGAAATAGCTTTTATTTTTTTTATACTTGTTTTGTTTTTTTTAAGTAATTTTGTGCTTTTGTCATCTTTATTTATTAGTTTTATAATAGCTTCCCCAAGCTAATAACACTTGCTGGCTTGGATAAAAACGAATGACATTGTCAGTTGTCACTCAGAAGGCTTGAGCATTGCCACAGTTAAACCAGCTTACTAAATGTTCATTATGAGTTTACATCAACAATGTACCTTTCCCCGTCTGACTGAAAGTAACATTTTATGAAGATTTTATCTCATCAACATGTTATCTGTAGTTGATGTAATAATATCACATAAACCTCATTGGTATCTACTCGTATATTATCTTGTTTCAAATTAGCAAAGCCAGACAGGGCTAGGTCAAAGTTCTTTTAGGCAAGTCATGTCACTTATGCGCCATCTTGGCAGCACCTCTGTGCATATATTTCGGACTTACAAGACCAGGCTCCTATCTAAATGTATGGGTAGAGAGTCAGGGCTGCACTTACAATGGTCACTGGGACATAAAAACTGTATAAGAACAGCAATAAAATATGATCAAAATCGCTGAAAAAGTTTGATGGCTTTTCCCCAAATTAAGGTTTAAAAGGTCTTTTTCCCCACAGTTTATACCTTTAATACACATACGCAAGGGTTCTCGTCTCCACTGTCGCAAACCTCAACTGTGTGCATGCGTCAGTGGAACCAGACGATAGGCTTACATGTTTCCCGGCTTGACTGTTAAAAGCAGACGATTGGCTTTCCAACGGGAGGGGCGGGGCATGTGCATACAACCGCCATCTTTGGGGTTATGGGTGTCGAGGATTGAGGAAGTGGCATGTCTCTATATAAATTGTCTCTGGCTATGTGCATGTTGCTATTGCGTGTTGACAATGATAGTGTAATGACATTATAACGGTCAGGTAAGTGATAAGGTAAGTTAATGTTAAGATAAGAGTTGCTCAGTTCTTGGAGCAGTAGTAGTTATCCAGGGTTGAGGAAGGTTCTTACAAATGTAATTAGCTTCCATATCACTTGTCTGTTTAAAATCGACATAATATGGAATTCATACTGTTCAATCTTAATGATCTTTTCCATGACCCTGACTTTTTTTGTACAATGAGCGCCCAAGATATTAGGTTACTTTCAAGTTGTGTTTGCAAGTATCACAGCTGTAAACAACCTATCACTACCAGCAGGTAGCTGTAATATTTTCATGGCAGATCATTTAAATGCCAGATGTACCTAATGGGCTTTATGCACAGCTGCACTACTTCCTGAACTTAAGCCAGCTCCTTGTTTCCTGTCTGCCATTATTGGCCAAATTGATTAATTCAGGTGTGCCTGACCTCAGTAGTCACGGCAACAATAACCAAACACACCTGAATTAATCAATTTGGCCAATAATGGCAGACAGGAAACAAGGAGCTGGCTTAAGTTCAGGAAGCAGTGCGGCTGTGCATAAAGCCCATTCACTGCACACTCAGTGTATGTGTTGTAAGGGGTTTACAGTCAAAGACCCAGAACCAGATATGAAGAATGAAGACCCGGAGTCAGAATTATTTATAAGTTTATAAGTTTATATTTATAAGTTTTACTGAAGATAGTTTGCCGTTTCATCAGCTGAAGTTAGCTTCAAGACTCAGCTTCAAGACACAGGAGTTCGTAGGCCACCTTCTTTACAGTTAAAGATCACAACAGTTAAACCATTTCCAAGGTCTAAGCTATGGTTGAATGGTTCTCATTGGCTAAGAAATTGATAAACAGTAATTTTCCACACATATACAGATAGACTGAAGCATATCTCTATCGATTATGCTGCTGAGACCCAGCTCTGAAGTTAGGCATGTTATGACTTTCCATGTCAAAGATTTGGGTTGCTGGGCGCCAGCC